TCATGTGGGGCCTCGCCACGGCCGGCCCGAGTCAAGGGGAGCACCCATGTCCCCAGGGCGGGTTCCCACGCAGAGGACCCGAACTTCCCTAGGTCACGAGCGGAGTGACCCTGCTCAGTTCGCTCTCGGAGGGGGGAGAACTGTGACGTAGAGGGGGTACTTGCTGGGCTGTGGTGACCTCTGCTGTCTGGAGCCAGACCCAGCAGGGAAAACCTCATTATGCAAAGGTAACGCCAAACCTGTTGAACCAGACACCCCCCATGGAGAGGAACAAAGGAAGGTGGAATGCTGCCCTGGCTGGGGGGCAGGGCTGGAAGAGTGTTGGTTAGTTGCTGTCTGGGAGCATGGAGGAGACAGCCTAGGGAAAGGGGCTGGAGTTTAGGGGCCCAGTCTCCCCCATCTCAAGGGGGCCTGAGGCATCCTAGCCCAGCTCTGTGACCAGATTACATCTGTGCTGTGCTGTATCCTGGAGAGGCAATAAACTTCCTCTATTCCACCAGCTGGTGCAGTCTGTTCATGCCGTTTTGGGGTGCAGGAGACAGGGGACCCCCAAACGCGCCGTCACACTATATGCAAATGAGATCATGACTCATGCAAATGAATCCCTCATTAGCATATTTTTTGCCAAGAACTCATAGGCTGCGTCTAGACTGGCATGATTTTTCGCAAATGCTTTTAACGGAAATGTTTTTCCGTTAAAAGCATTTGCGAAAAGAGTGTCTAGATTGGCACAGATGCTTTTGCGCAAAAGCACTTTTTGCAGAAAAGCATCTGTGCCAATCTAGATGCGGTTTTGCATAAGAAAGCCCCGATCGCCATTTTCGCCATCGGGGCTTTTTTGCGCAAAACAGTTCTCAGTTGTCTACACTGGCCCTCTTGCGCAAAAGCATTTGCACAAGAGGGCTTTTTTCCAAGCGGTAGAGTCATTGTATTTGCGCAAGAACACTGACATTCATACATTAGATCCTCAGTGTTCTTGTGCAAATTCAAGTGGCCAGTGTAGACAGCTGGCAAGTTTTTTCGCAAAAGCAGTTGCTTTTGCGGAAGAACTTGCCAGTCTAGACACAGCCATAGAGACTAACTTTATCCACCCTTTATATCTTCTTCCAGAAGACTCTTTCTAGGTCATCTGCTCCACTAATAATTAGGTGTGTGTGTGTGTGTGTGTGTGTGAGTGTGTCACCTGGAGCACCTAGCTGCCCCCCAGGTGCAGCTAACAGGATCAACATGGACGTAGTAGACTTTAATCCTCCTAAAATGCCATTGACCAGAGGACAAATTGAAAAGCTAAAAAACTACCAGCTTCATTTTGTATCCAAATATGTTTTTAATATAAGGAATAAGTAATTTAAAAATTCTAAGTTGGCAGGAAGGTATTCCCACTAAAGTTCCTCAAGGCTAGGACTTGCTTCCTCCCAACTTTCTTGACAGGTTCACACCAGCAAAGGCCTTGACTAGATGTAAAATCCATTTTTAGCCACTTAAGTATTTCAGAGGTTGGGTAAGGGATATGTAGTATGGGACGAGGTTTATTATCAGTGTGCAGGGCAAATTAGGCAGTTTATGGTATATGTTTTTGACCTATTTTCTACAATTGCATTTTTTCTTTGTAACTTCTACCCCCAAATATACACTTCCTCATATAACTCTGAATAGATAGGAGGATCGTTTTCAGACAAAGTACTTATGACTAACTTAGTACTTTTCCTTCTGAAACAAAATTTGTGAAGTTGGAAATGAGAACTGTCAGCTGTTGGTGATTGACTTTTCCTCTTCCTTCAGTAACTGGATTCTCAGCTTAGTGTTTAATCCTTGCAGTTGGTTGACAGTCTGTTGGATCAAAATTTTTAGTAAAGCTCATGTAACTACAGAGTTCCTGGAGTCAGTGACTCAGGTGGTTTATTAAAGTTAGCATATTTTTTCAGGGTGTGTCAGAGCTTGATTTGTAAGCATTCTTGCAAGGTGGGAGTTGAGCTGAACCTGCAGGAGCAGAAAGTATCTAGGCTCTCCCAACACTTGGTTTGGAGTATGTTTGTTTTGGAATTGGGTTTCCTGATAAGAGGAATGTGAGGCACCTTCTCAGCAGAATGTTAGCTTAATAGCAGTGAGCCTTGGTTGTAGGTAAGTGAATGTATTCATGTAGTTCAAGAGAACTTTTTCTCTTTAAATGAAATCTGATTTGTGGGGTCTTCATATTGGGGTCTCCTTGGTTAGGATATTGTTTTGCTATAATTTAAATTCCTCCTTAGCTGAGAACATAAATGAAACAACTCTTTAAAGCATTCATTAAAGTCTAGCCAAAACGTGTTTTATATGAAAAATGGCTTTGTTACGGAGAATGATTGGAATGTCAAGAATTTCATTTCAGGCAACATTTTTGTTATTAGAACAAGCTTCTGTTGTCTACATATTGGTTTTGTTCAGAGATATAATGCAAGATAGAACCCTGGAAGGGTGTTTTTTTTCTTATCTGCCATGCAATACTTCTATTGTAAGCACAGATAATAACAATTCTAATATTTTTTTCATTTCCTTGGGTGCTGCCTCTTACTCACATCTTATAAGTCCCCCCTCCTATGATTTTGCTGCTGCTTCTCTGTAGAGCTAGAAAAATAATCAGTGTTCATTCTTCAGTAAGCATATATTAAAACCTCAGAATTGTGTATCTTAAAGGTGAATTATGAAGAGGGATTTTTTTCTTTTACATTCTTTTCTGCCCTTCAGAATTCTTTGATCAAATACAGAGATGACCCACATAAAGCTTGTTTTCATTATAGCTCTTCACATTGGGGAAGCCTGAAACAACTGAGCTGCACTTCTCTCCCTTTGCAGGAGGACCCAGCCATCTTTGGCATGGGGATGGTGCACAGTTTGTAGCTTAGGTGACAGCATCGTTTGACATTACCATATAGGCCTTTTAAAGATTCCAAGGAGAGTTCTCCAGTGAACAATGGGGAAAGTGAGTCTGCTTCAGATCAAAGACTTAACAAACAAAGCAGAGAAGGGAATATTCTGTTTGTGTATTTCCATGTACTGGATTTTGTTTTCAATTTCTTCTCCCGACCTAGTATTGTCTTTTTACTCCATTTTGTGCATGCGTGATGGAGCTTTAAGCTGTATAAAACTAGTGAGTCTGTGTGGGTCAAGAGGCAGGATTCTAAGCTCTTCAGGTAGGGTGTCTTTCTCTCTATACTATATGATACCTGACATGCTGTACCATTACATAGACCATATTTACAGCACTCTAACTTCCTTAATCGCTACAATATTTTCAGAAATTGTGAATATCAATAGCAGGTAAAGTAGTGACACAGAACAGCTGAGGCTATTGCAGTTTACTATAATGCACTGGAGGATGCTAGCTTTTTTTGCCTGCATTTTTGTTTTGACTTGTCCCTAGGGAACAGAAAATGAAGAAAATATAAATGAAAAGCCCTTCAGAATTTTCCTGGAAAATAACTTATTCATGTATGAATGCACTGTACCCTTTAGCAATGCATTGAGATGCCCATGCTGGTACCATCTTATGAGTACTCTATGGCTTTCTCTACACTGCTGGGTTTTGGTACAAGAAGTTTTTTTGCGGAAGAGATCTTCCACAAAAACTTCTTGAGCAAAAGCATGTCCAGACTTCAAAGTGCATCTCAAAAGCTTTTGCGCAAGAGAGCGTCCACACTACATGCACACACACAAGCAAGAATGTTCTGATTGCCATTAACAGAATGGCCATCAGAGCACCTGTGCTTTTTCTGATAGGCTCTTTTTGTGCAAGAAACCCCTGTGGTTTGAGCTCTTGCCCAAAAGGAGTTATTTCTCATGTCCTGTCGATTTACTGTGGTGTGGTTGGGGTTTTTGCGTAAAAACGTGCTTGAGGTGTGGACACTCCACCTGTTTTTGTGCAAAAACCTTGTAGTGTAGACATTGCCTACATGAGTCACTACTCTGAAAAGTGAAAGTGTGTGTTTCTACAAAAATATACTACTCTTCATGGAATTAAACAGTCTCTCAGCTCATCTGACCATTACTTATGTAACAGCTAGACCCCAACTATGATGGAGGCCAATTGGCCTAGGTCTTATGCAAGCAAACTGCAAAATAATTTACAATCTAAAAAGACAAGACAGGCAAAAGTTGCCAGGGAAACAGGCAGTGGAAAATGAAGTGACTTGCCTGTCGTCTTGTAGGAGGTCAGTCTGAGTGAGCAATGGAACCCAGTTCTCTTGTGTGCCAATCCAGAGCCATACATAATGGATCATGCTGCCTTCCCTGGTGAATTCAAGGATGTCTATTTAAAAACTCTTGTGTTCCCTCTCTAACTACCACCATGCTGTATATCCAAACACATGCAGTCAGTCTCTCTCTGTAATACACTTTAAGTGTTTTAGTCACACTTCTCACTATAACACCTTTCAAACTACAGTAAAAGCTTTATCTGGCATGTTCAGGGGATGGGAGGTGCTGGTAAGACATATTCTGGTTACCTAAGAGAGAGGAAACTGAGGTACAGGAATGGGCTGTGGGTGGAGGTATGCCTAGGAGGTTCTGTGTACTGTCTCCACCTACATGCATCACGCCCTCAGCTCCCACCGGCTGTATTTCCTAGCTAATTGGAGCTGGGGAGCCCCCTTGACCATTCCTCTGCCTAGGACCATCAGGGACATGTTGGCCTTTTACAGAATCTATGTAGAGTTAGGGAGGGAGCCTGCCAGCCCTGTGCCAATTGGACTTTCAGAGATCAAAAGAGATTTCTGATTAGTAAAGTGCTGTGTAACACAGATTTTACTATAGAAAGATTAATCTTTAAAATATGAGAAGTTACTATATCGTTATCAGATTTTGAACAGCTGTGGTGAGTATAGGTCTCACCCTCTGAAGATAGCTGTTATCTCAGAAGTAGTATGCTGTAAATACTATACCAAAGTCAGTTACCATGTTGCAGTATAAACATATTCACTCGTGAAGAGGGTGGTGGTTTTATTGTTGATATTTGTGTTCCCACAGTGTCCATTGGTTGCAGTCAGGTTTGAGGCATCACGTTTTATGCTCAAACAAAATAAAACAGTCCTTCCCCAGCTACAGTGAGGTGGATACTAAATGCGGTAGTCCAATAATACATTCACTAGATAAGACGATAAGGCTGAGATTAAGACATTACACCACCTTTAACATCTGTTCCTTGCATTACATACCCAGCTACTCTTCACATATGTTGCTGTTAACAGCCTTCAGAAACATTCTATTCCCATTATAAGAACAGCTGAGTCTTAAAGATAAACATTTAAACAAATTAATTAGCAAAAGAACACAACAAGGTTGGATCTGAGTATGTATTCAAAGTGGCTATTTTAGCCAACCAACAAAATATCATGTTCAAAAATGAGTTGCATAGTTAACAGTCCTTGTTCCCATGTCACTCTTAAAGGATATTTGTCTTGTTTCTAAGTTTTCATTTGTTATTACTTGTTTTGTTTTTCCTTTGGATGCTCCTCTCAAAATTGAACTCTACATTTTAGTGGGGGCACTGATTTGTGGTACTGTAGCCAGCTCTTTAAGGGAATTCTTTTCTAAAATAAATTGGATAAGAAATATTTGATTCAAAGGTATTAGACAACAAAAGTGAAGCAGAGAGAATACCTGAAAGCTGCTTTTGTAATGCTAAATTTAAAAAAAATAATAATGTAAGAACTCAGTGCTCAGTGTGTCTTTCATTTTCCTCTTGCTGCTATGGCTAAATACAATGTTTTATGTTTGGTGGCAAATGGCTAACAGTGAAGTGCTCTCTTTATCCACTCAGCAAGTGCAGCACAGCAGCAATTATGTAAGATGTCCAGTTTCTTTATTATGCTCCACCTTTAGCCTGGAGGGAGCTGGGGCTGGACAGGAGAGCAACAAGCCTTTTTGCCCATTAAATCCTTGTCCTTTCTTCTGAGAACTGCCAATTGTCCTTCAGTGTCTATCCTACTGATGCCTCTCTATTGGGAAACATTCTATGCCCATTACCATTTGAGAGCCTGTGGGAAAAGACTTTTGTTAACTAAGAAACTGGAGCTCAAATAACCAAATACCAGTCTGTTGATTCCCTGACTCATCCAGTCTCCCTAACAGGCAGAATTGCCATTATAGAATGTTAACTACCCAGTATACTTTTAAGGGCATATCTAATACCCCTTACTCCAAGAAAAATAAGTAAAATGATTAAGAGTGAAGAATCTAAAATAGCTGAGTGTTGGATCGGGGGCATAGATGGGATCTGCTCATATCTGATATGCTAGTGTAAAGCTATACTATTGGGGTGTCCCAAGAGGTTGAAGGTTCAAGCCCAACCCATTCCAGGCTGGTTGTCATCCTCAAGGAGTGCCATGAGGACAGCCTGCATAAACTGCACCAGGAAGAGCAGCAGCAAATCTAAGAGCTGGTGACTGCTTTTCAGCAGGTCTGGGCCCATGCTGGAAGCACTGTGGTATCTGCAAGGGTGACCAGAGCACACAATGTGGTGTTTACTGTCCTTCAGGTAGGAACTATTGGTTGCTTCAGAACTGAATTTTAAGTTTAAATTGTAAATAGTTTTTCTTATGCCATAGTTGCTATTATAAACTTATAGCATTGTGTTTAAACCTCTCAGTCAATGATTTGGAGATGCCTACTTTGTATTTTGGTAGTCCACTGCCATGGTACAAGGATACCGGCATGAAGTGAAAAGCTAAAACTGATGGCTAAGTATAGAGTAGATCTCAGTAACGCCCCATCTCCTACTCTAACCTATAGTGTGCTGTTATTTCATTCAGTGGACTTCAGTCATTAGTGTAGTTATAAAAGTTTCAGTATAACAGTTCTTTAAAGTGGCTTCACAACTATTTTTCATTATGTCCCCATGGGTGCGCCTACACTAGAGAGGAAGATTGAATCTTCCAGGAACTCTATCAATCTTCCAGGGTTCGAATTAGCAGTCCAGTTAAGACACGCCAATATGAAGTGAGAAGGGGCACTCTGGTCAATGCCAGAAACCCTGCTTTCTTGAGGAGTAAAGGAAGTTGAAGGAAGAATTTTCTTCCTTTGACTTCCTGCAGTGTAGACCGAGCCAAAAGCCGAATTAAGCTATTTCAACTTCACAGCTACGCAAT